CAATTTGTATTCAGAATCCCAAGTTACCACCAACTAAATGAATGCCATAGCCTCTCACGGACGCTAACACTTCAGGAGTGACTTTTTCTCCCAGGGACGAAATTACTTTCCACGTTTGAGAACTTTGAGAGTGGAAAGAATATGATGAAAATTTAGAGAGTCTAAGCTACTCTCAGAAGGGTCTCCCTCATACAACAGTGCCAGCTCCGTGGCCCCCAGAGGATAAGGCGCCAACCGGAGGGCTCTTCCCTCGCTTCTTTACCCACCTTCCCTCGCAGCTATACCAGACGTTTATATCTTTTACCCTTTCTCCCAACATTTCCGCATCGTCCTTCCCTTCCCTCCCTCTATATCCCCTCCTGCCTGTGTACGATGCAGCGGATGGGTCACGGAGATGGCCAGGAGTGGTCTCCTCTCCTCCTCTTCCTAAGCTCTGACAATGAGGCAAGGGAGACCGCAGCACCTGCTCCCCCGGCAACCAGGACCAAGTTGCCACGGCAACAACGCGTCTGCCTGTCCTCCATCCGGGTCTCGGGCCCTCTCTCACTACGGGAGGTCACGATAAACCTGCGCAGGCGCACACGGCGCCCTCAGAACACCGCGGCACTCGTTCCCTTGCCTACAAAGGTCCTGTCAGGTTGCGGTTTCCAAGGAGACGACCAAGAAATCCACGCATCACTACCTCTTAATAGTTAGGGACAGAGGCAGAAGGATCGCTATCTTGGTTGAGTTTTCCCACGTGTAGCTATCTCTAGCCAGATTTGGAATTTTATAGGACAACTTCTAAAAGTCTATTTCTGTATGGTACTTTCTTCGCCGTTAACGTCAAAAAGTAGTTTCAATTTTTATTAGTAGGTGATCAAATTGCTGATTAGTTACCTTTTTGACCCTCAGCAATTTTTTCCGAATAATAACTAAAACCTTTCCCAAGAGAGTTGTCAAAATAAGGTTTTTGCTCCAGCTGTCAAGCATGTCAAAATGGTCAACTAGAATGTTCTCAATGTCTTAAAGTATAAAGGGAAAGCAAGATGAATTTTAGATTGTGGTGACAGATGACAAGATTTTAGAAACTATCCATTCCCAACCAGACATAAATAACTGAGAGAAGTGAAAATATTTCCTCAATACAATCCAGTGTTGAGATTATTTTGAAATTGTTTATTAGAATTTCTATCACTTGGTATGATGGCGAGCACCTTTTCTCCAAAGACGATAATGTAAAATTGAATTTAGGTATTCTCCAAATTATAAACTAAATTAAAAAAGTTAATGTTAAAATAAATTACAACATTGAGTGTACTTCCTTGCTGTAGTATAGAATTTATAGTTGTAATTACCTAATGTTTCCACTGCTTTAGGACTCAGTCGTAGGCCAAACACTTGAAACAAGACCAAAAAAAAAAAAATTGTTAAAGGTTCAAGGAATGTTAGTCAAATTTCCATTAATGAATGTAGAGTTACTACCAAAGTAGAAGTAGTAGGTTTCAGAACTCCTAGGTTAATATTTTGTTCTCTGACCTCTCCCCCAAATTTGTGAATGTTTTCAAATGTTAATGCATATAGCAGCATTATTAATAGCCAAAAAATGGGAAGAAACCTAATGATGAATAGATAAATAAATGTGATATATCTGTACAACAGAATATTATTCTGTAATGAAAAGAAATGTACCGGATAAGGATTCTGTGAAGATGGTAGAGTAGGAAGCACCAGAAATCTATCTCCCCACCTACAAAACAATTGCACTGGCAGAATCTGTCTCGTATAACTATTTTGCAACTCTGCAGTTTATTAAAGGTTTGCAACTTACAGGGGCAGTAGACTGCAGTTAATTTTGGTCAATTTCAGCTCTTATATAGACCAATGGACTAGAACAGAGAGATCAGAAATAAACTTTCACAGATATGGTCAAATGATTTTCTACAAGGGTTCTATGAAATTCAATGGGAAAGGACATCCTCTTTTCAACAAATGGTCCTGGGAAAACCAGATACCCACATGCAAAAGAATGAAGTTAGAGTCTTATCTAACACCATATACAAAAATAAACTTAAAATGTATCAAAGAACTAAACATAAGAACTAAAACTATAAAACTCTTAGAAGAAAGCAAAGCAAAAGCTTTACCACATTGGATTTGGCAATGATTTCTTAGATATGACACCAAAAGGGCAGGTAAAAAAAAGCAAAAGTAGACAAATTGGACTTCACAAAAATTAAATACTTTTGTGCATCAAAAGATACTATCAACAGAGTGAAATAGCAACCTATGAAATGGGAGAAAATATTTGAAAATCATATATCTAATAAGGAATTAATATTCAGAAAAAAATAGAGACCTCCTACAAGTCAACAACTATAAAAAACAAACAACCCAAAATGAAAATGGACAAAGGACTTGAATAGATATTTCTCCAGGGATATATGAATTGCTAAGAAACACATGAAAAGATGCTCAATATCACTAATTATTGGGGATATGCAAATCAAAACCACAAGGAAATACCACCTCATGCTCATTAAAATGGCTACTATCAAAAAAAAAAAAAAAACCAAAATAACAAATGTTGGCAAAGATACAGAGAAGCTGGAACCCTTGTGCACTCTTAGTGGGAATGCAAGATGGTACAACTGCTATG